GATGCTCAATCAGCTATTTTTATTTTTAGCTAAGAGTTTTCTCTTCAAACCTATTCACAAAGCTGCTGAGACAAACTTTTACTAAGGAATAGAGAGAAGTCTTGAGCTGTCCACATGAATGCGGTTATTTTTAAAACCGCAGCTTTTTCTATGCGGTTTGGCCGTTCGTCCACACGCAAACGCAGCACCGGGTCACTCCATTTTTAAAAATATCCGTGTAGGTGTGTACTTGGTGGACATGGCCTAAGGCCCTGTCCACATGAATGCGGTTATTTTTAAAACCGCAGCACCGGGTCACTGAAACCGAACATTTTTGAAAACGCCTGCCAGGGTGAAGATTTTCAAAAACTCCGGTTGCAGTGTTATCGTATGGTGCCTGGGAGGTGACATGGTCAGTTCACTTAGTTTTGTCGTGGCCACGACATAATAACTTGTGGGAACGTGATATGTTGTGGCCACGAGATGCTATGTTGAGAGAACAACATTTTTCTCGTGGCCACGAGTTTAATGCGTAAACAAACTTGCGTGACCATAGCAACCCGGGATTATCAAAAATGGATAAAACATTTTTATTAACATTAAACATTTTATTTAATATTTGTATATTATTATTATTACATTAACTTATTAGGGCTATATTTTTACATTTATTGTTATATGCTTATTTCCCCTTTTCAATTTGTTTATCGCTTTACCTAGTTAACGTTTTATATAATTATGCTAGCATTTGCTAGCCTACCATATATTTTGCAAATAAACGCCTGACAATTATGCGAATAAAGTTTTGACTTTATGATTGCATTTATGCCCATGTGTGATAAATGAGTGCGTTGTGTTTTCATTTACAAATGAAACTACGTGAATGATTAATTCCTCAACTAAACACTATAGTATTTATAATTATGGTCTATTAATTAGCCGAAATAAAATGAAATCTATGTTAAATATAAACTGCATTCCAGAAAAAAATCCCAGTCAGCGTAATCAAAGCTTTACTGGCACGTCGAGCATTTACAGTAGCCTAATATTTACAAAAATATTCAGAACATTAAGTAAAGAGATCGAAATGAAGGGGAAAAATTTATATATACGGGTATAAAAATATAACCAATAATAATAGGCTAATAATAATAATAATAATAATAATAATATACAAATATTATGGGGAAAAGACGATCAGTTAATGGACTTACAAGACTGTAGGATGGATAAAAATGTTTTCTTGTAGACCTATTTTATATTATGCACTTTATGTAACATTTATTCATGATAAACTTCATGCTGACTAATCGCACGTAATACAGTCCGGTAGTCAAGGCCTACGGTTAATATAATAATGTAATAATTTCTATAATAAATAATATAATAATTTCTTAAAGGCACAATATGTACAATTTTTTAATTAAAATATCAAAAACCACTCGAACAGTGTATTTCGCTGACTTGTGCACTTACATTATCCCAAATGTTTCGAAGATTGTTTAAATCCAGAGAAATAAGCAATTTTAACTAGTAACACGGGCCGTGTCTATAGTGTCATTGTGTCGCCTGCAAATGACGTCATAACCCTTCGATTTCCGGTTTTGTTTTGTAGAAATCATGGAAACACCAAAGATTGTGCCTTTAATTCAAAATAAAACTTAAGTGAACCGAACATGTCACCTCCCGGGCACCACAGGAAACACCTGAACATTACTTTTAACGCGAGCTATAAACGTGGCGTTCCGTGTCTTCCCTGACTGAATCAGGCATCACATTTAGCAAGGCAAACCAGTGATGGGCCGCTAGAGGGCATCGAAACTCCGTCCAACATTTTAAATATGCCATACACAATTTTACCTTGTTGAATAAAGTTATGCATTGCAACCTCAACAAATTAATACGTTTGCAACTCTCCACAGTTAAAGGTAAACATCTCTTTAAATCTTGAGACAATCCAGAGCTACTCATTTATTTGTCCTTGATCAAACCCTAAGACGATCTCTGCTTTTGTGGTCCCCCCACCAACTGTTCTGCTTTTTTTTTCCCCATACCAGTTTTCAAAATTAACCTTTGCTACATTGATGTAATCACAATACTGATGTAATTTCAACAAATCTCACTCTTTAATGCTTAAAATTATTCAGTCTAATTGAGTTAATCTTTTTAAGCATATCCTATTTTCACCAGTTTGTTTGGTTCACATGAATTGTTATTAATTAGACTAAACGCTTCAGATGATTGAAAGACAACTGACAGTTTTTCAATGAAAGCATGCTCTTCAAAAAATGCAAGAATAAAAATACACAAAAGAGCAATATACTTTTGCCACAGTCTCCAAAATAAAAGAACATCTCTACAAATCTTGTTTCAAAGCAGCTTTATTTGAAAAAAATGTCAAAACTCGATTTGAATGCATAACATCTGCATTAACAGAATTTCATTTATTTGAATGACTGTGCAGATGATTGAGAGCTGATGAATGAGGTTCATCTCCAGCATGTGTTTGTATGTGCCTGTTTAAGTGGCCTTTTTGTGTGAAACTCCTTCCACACTGCAGGCAGCTAAACGGTTTTTCATCATTATGAATCCTGTGGTGCTGCTTCAGATGGCTAGCTGCTGTAAAGCTCTTGCCACACTCAAAACACATGTGATCCCGCACAGCATCATGGATCTTTTGGTGCTGTTTCAAAGAGTCCAGCCGTGGAAAACTCTTTCCACACAAAGAGCATTTATGGGGCCTCTCATTCATATGAAGTGTCAGGTGTTTTTTTAGATTTGCCGATGAGGTAAAATTTTTCCCACACTGATCACACTTAAATGTTTTTTCTCCAGAGTGATGACGCATATGATATGTGAGTCCTGATGATTGTATGAAGCTCTTCCCACACTGATGGCACGTGTGCGGTTTCTCTCCAGTGTGAATTCTTTCATGTGTCACAAGGTGGGCTTTTCCTTTGAAACTCAGTCCACATTGAGAGCAGGTGAACGGTCTTTCTGTAGTGTGAGTTTTCTGATGCTTTCACAGATATTCAGATGTAATGAAAGTCTTTCCGCACTCAACACAAGCATGATTTTTGACAGAAGAATGGATCTTCTGATGCTTCTTGCAGTTGGCCAGCCGTAAAAAACTCTTTCCACACACTGGACACAAATGAGGCCTCTCATGTAATCCCATCTCATCTAAAACAAACGTATTCATAGTGATACTTAACAAATCATGCTGCTGTGATTTTATAACGAAGGCTTTGCTACCTTAAAGGGATAGTTCACCCAAAAATGAAAATTCTGTCATTAATTACTCAGCCTCATGTGGTTCCAAACCTGTAAGACTTACGTTCATCTTCGAAAGCTCTCTGACCCTCCCATAGACAGCAAGGATCCTTACACGATCATATCACATACGTAAACAACGCATGCTGTTTTGTGTCAGCTGCGTCACGCGGATATGTTGTTTACATCTTTATCTGAATGTAAACAATGTATCCGCATACATACGTTGTTTACGTATGTCATACTCTCCAAAATGGCGCCAGGGTGATGCGGAGGAGACGAATTGTTGAAAAAAGTTGTTATCCTTGTTTTCTTTGCGCACAAAAAGTATTCTCGTAGCTTCGTAAAGTTAAAGTTGAACCACTGATGTCACATGGATTATTTTAACGATGTCCTAACTACGTTTCTGAGCCTTGATCTTGTAAGGATCCTTGCTGTCTATGGGAGGGTCAGAGAGCTCTCACAATTCGTCAAAAATATCTTAATTTGTGTTTCGAAGATGAACTGAGGCCTTACAGGTTTGGAACGACATGAGGCTGAGTAATTAATGACAGAATTTTCATTTTTGGGTGAACTATCCCTTTAATGTTCCTTAGCATTCAGTAACGAAGAATTAAAAAAAAAAAGAACACCAACCACTTTGTTCCTCATTATCTTCATGTATCTCGCTGCTTGGATTTGGATAATTCATTTCCACAGTATTTCACACAAGTTTAGATGTCACACATGGAATTTGACAAATATATTGCCAGCATTTACTGGTGAACTGATATTGTTGTTGTCTGTGGCTTCACTGCAGGTGTGAAATGCTGTGTGGCAAAGAGGCGAAAAGCACCAGACATGGCAAAATCAAAATATGTCAGAAATGCAAAGTATTTTTGTAAGGTTTTATATTAGTAGCATTAAGATTATTCAAATAAATGTGTCTGCTAAATAATAACAACAACAATAATAATTATTATTATTATTAAATCCACATTGTGTTCCAAAAAGTTTTAATATATAAATGTTACAATAGAAACGGCATATAATTAGTTCGCAGTTGTTACCCCTTAACTGTCACTCACATTTTTGAACATAGACATGAAAGTGCACAATCCAAACTTCAATTTTTATAATTCATGATCGAAAACATTGTGTAACATGATATTGATACCATTTTCATGGTAATGCAATGTTTGATTTTAAAATGGGTTTCAAATGATGAATTTTGAGATTTAAAGTTTTCAATTGATATATAATTTCTGATGATTTCTAAAGTGTGATAGAGAAAAAGGCAACAAAGTAAACTTTTTTTGACAAAGGTCAGAACTCCTGTTATGATGTAGATTTTTGAGGTGCACTCTTGTCTATCTATTACTTTTCCTACATAATTGTTAACAAAAACATTGGTAAAATATCTCTTTAGGAGTCTTAGACCTTTCCAAAGATATATAGTTTGTCATGATTAGATTAGTATTTAATTGTAATATAGTGAAGTAAACTTAGGCGTCCCACAAGAGGGGACGGGTGACAGTTAAAGGGTTAAAATCATTAGATAATAGATAAATATAGACAAAAATATTTTGATATTTAACAAACAGTTTATTTGGTGCCCGCGACCCTAGAGACAATAAGCGTGTTGGAAAACTGATGGATGGTTTTCATTTCATTTGCCACATAAAGACACAGACACGTAAAGGGTAGCGATGGTCTCTCTCTCTCTCTCTCTCTCTCTCTCTCTCTCTCTCTCCTCAGTTCACGCAACTGAGCAACGCACCTTACCTGAAATCTTTCAGCGACTCTTATTGGTTCTGCTGTTTAATTTAGACGTATTTTTGAACATCTCATTGCATGTTCTTATTGTGTAAGTGTGAGAGAGATCAGGAAGAACAGAAGGACCAGAGGAGTTTTACTACAATGAAACGAATATTGATCCTGATGCTGCTCGCGCTCGGGCTCGGGCTGTCCTGCGTGCGTGCGCACAGAGGTAAGCCGACATCCTCCATCAACATATCTTCACATAAAAACAAGATATGATGCATTTCTGAGACACTTTAACGTTTTAAACATAAAGCAGTGGGTAGAAATGAATTTGTAGTCCCTGAGAGGGTTTATTCCACGAACGTGCGCTTCTTCTGAATTGCATCCTTTGGTTTCCAGATACTGATCAGAGTTCGTAAAAGTCGCAGATCAACATTTTAAGTTTAAATGAGGAGTTTTGATTGTTGTCTTTAGATTGAAGGCTGAATGTCAGATTTGTAGACGGTCTTTGTTATGAAACACTATAGTTTACTGATCATGTGGAACAAAATGTAGAATTACATATGATGCTATGTGTGTTTTTGGAGTGCAATATTTATTTATTCTTTATATGATGCCATTATCAAAGTTTGAGAGTTTTCCAGGTTTGAAAGGTTCGTTTTGTATCTGTCTGAAGTGTAAAAACATCTATAAAAACATGTTTTTATTATGCAAAATAATGATAAAGATTTTTTTGGTAGCGAGTTAGATTCAATACACTGCAGCTGCAATCCTGCTGTAGTTTATTATAATAATAGGCTACAGTAAATCAGGCTTTAAAAGGGTTTAATTTGAAACAATATGATTGCCTTTGTTTCCTGCAAAGCCTTCTCATAAAATATATTAGTTTGGTAGAGTGTCGGCTCACGAAACTGACTGAAGATATTGAGCTTACAATAATTTATCAGTGCTCAGCTTTTCTGTCTCCTGTTCTCAACTTTTTCTTGTCTTATATTGTTGTCCTGCCCTGTCCGGTGATGCATGTTCTTGTCTTTCTCTTTCCATTTTCAGTGTTTATCCATCCAACTTTGCTTGTTTGTGTATTTCATGATTCACTTCACTAGCTGCAGACTCCTCGGGCTGTTTGTCCCTGTCACAGGAATAAACGAATCTCCCTCCCTCTCCTCTTCAGACACATAAGATAGTAGGTTATGTCAAAATTAATTTTGCACAAAGTGGTTAATTCAGCCTGGAATGATATGAAACATCTGGAAATCACAACCACAAGCAAATGTGTCCAGCTGAGTGTATCGGATCAGTGTCAGCAGATTGGTAGTTAGACACCTTTGCCTTGTGTTTGCAGCTACTGTGACACACACAGGCACACATCACAATGAGCAGCTGCTGAATTCTCAGGTCAGTCTATTGCGTTATGTTTCCAAGCAACAAAGGGCAATGCATTATTAAGAAGAGAAAGGAACCTATGCAGACCTTGGGTTTTCAAATCAATGATATTACGGACTTCTTTCACTTCTTTGTTTATATAGCAAATAAAATATATTTCTTATGAACTCAAGGGTTCAGGTCTGATGCAATACACTGTCAAAAAAAATCTGTGACATTTACGGTAAAATACCAGTAGCTGAGGTTGCCAGAACTTCACTGTAAAAAATATGGTAGCAACATTTTAGGTTTTACAGACTTGACTTAAATTCACAATAAAATACCGTATTTCATTAACTGATGTAATGTTAATAAACCAACATATTGAAGTGCTAATATCTGTTTTGAACCATTGTAATGCATTGATAACCACCAAAAACTGGTGGTGATGAGAAAGTCACATGATGAACCAAAGCTCATCACTAATAGCTTTTCTACGAGCTGAGGAGGGCAATATTTATATATAGAAGGTGCACAGTGTCATTCACACAAACACTAAACCCCATCATGGTGACACACATGATACTGAAATAATGCAATAAACATTCATTTAACAACATTAGAGAAAAAAACTAAGAAGAAATATGTTATTTCAACAAAAAAACATCAAATATGAAGTGTCATGCAGGGAATCCTGGGAGTGTCAATTTACGGTTTGTCACTGTAAATTATACAATGATTTTTGTTCTTTTTCACTTCGAAATACCGTATTTTTAACAGTATTTTACTGTAAAATTACATTAAATGTAATTACATTTATTCATCGAATATAGTATGGAAACTTACTGTTAACCAGTTAACAGGTTTTTACTGTAGCATTTTTACAGTCTTTTACTGTTAAAATCACAATAATTTTTTACAGTGTACAAATACAGTATATCCTGCAAATATCTCTCTTTTTCATATGTTTTTTACTGGCAGAAACTATAGATTTTAAATAGGGATGCACAATCATGTAGGCTGATATTAGTGAAGTTTGTTAACGGCACACTTATTTCCACCTTTTTACATTTAAATTAAATGAGCTTCATCTAGCGCTCACTTAAAGTTCAACTTTATTAAAACTACTAACTTAGCACACTGTTAAAACAATCATTAGCAAATCTCAACATGAATATCCATCTTTCATATATAATATTGTGATGTCTAAATTCCCCCATATCAGTGAAACTAATTTTAAACAATGGTAATGTTAGGTATTGTTTATAATCAAAATTTTGCTACTATCCTTTTTATTATTAGTCATATTATTCTACAGTTTGTTATTGTAATATTTTCAAATAGTGATCAATGTTGACAGGTAACATTGACTTTTAAACATTCATATGGATATTTAAAGGTGAAATGTGAATGGAACTGCAAAAATAATTACAAAAATATAGCTGCAAACAGCAATTATTAGGGTTTAGATGCTTTAAGATCTTTAATTGTGCGCATAAAAATACATTGTGTATTATTTACAAAGCCACGTAAATCAAAGAGGCACATGATTATTTTCAGATTTTTTTACAGCAGTTCTCAAATTGAGCCCATACATAAAGGTGCCAAGTTTGATGAAAATATCTCATTCCTTATAACCATAAAAGTGAACCATGCCTGAATGTTTTGATAAACTCTTGATTTATCCTCGCAACAGCACAACTTATATTTGTTGTTGTATAAGTCTATAACAAACGGTTCAGGACTTACGGTCAAAATGTCAATTTCTTGTTTTTTTGCACTGTACCCTCTTGGGCCGATCGGAACGAGTCAGTGCCATTGTGTACCCAAATTGAGCACTACGATTTCACCGATTTTCAAGTCTCTAGGCCTTATGGTTTGGTCTAAACGATAGAAATGTAATAATACTAAAGTCCTTACATTTACAATAGGGTTTCAGAGTTTCACGCTTGAACCCCTGTATTTTAGAAAGTATTTTTACTGAAAAAATGCCTCACATCACCTTTACACTTCTGTCCTGTTCTTTGGGAGACAGCAGTGCTTGAACTAGAATCAGGATGGTTGAACAGACCTCGTTAGGCTCTTGGGTTGTCGGCTCTTGGGTTTGGTTTCGCTGAGGCAGCATTCTACATACATTTGATTAATGTGCCGAGCATCTGAACCTGTGTGGTTTCTGACAGCCCTCTGATTGATTGTTAACAGTGTGTCATATATATTCATTAGTGGAGTGAGTGTGTCATTATCATCATCATCATCATCATCACACAAAATAAGCTACATGTTCCTCCTCTCTCAAATGTGTGTGTGTGTGTGTGTGTGTGTGTGTGTTTGGCTGCTCATGGGAGGCCCTCACCATATGTTCATCATTCATTTCTCCTTTAACTCTGTGTTCATGCATGCACACCTCTCCACACACTCCTCATGTAGGAGGTGCAGTGTGTGTTTTAGAGTTTAGGAGCTTCCACATCAGGACTACGTAAGTATTACAGCAGTATTGCAGAGCGTTCATCATGTTCCTCTATCCATGGGCTGCTGGGATTCTGAGACTGGACAGGATAGAGGAAAAGAAGAGGGAAAGAAATATTAAATAAAATATTTATTTCAAATAATATTATGCTAGACAGGGAGAGCAAAGTTGGCACACCATAGATCCAAAAGTAGAAAAATATTTATTTATGTTCTCACCACATGAGACGTTTCGAGCCTACAAGCTCTTCATCAGTATAATATTATAATATTATTTTAAATAATTTTTATTATTAAATAATATTATGCCAACAGTAAATTAAATTATCCACCCATTCATTCTCCAAACTGCCTATCCTCTGTAGAGTCACGGGGTAGATTAGATTAGATTAGATTAGATTAGATTAGATTAGATTAGATTAGATTAGATTAGATTAGATTGAACCCCCAAAATAAAGTCAAAACAAAAGGTTGCAAGTCTTACAGTAAAAGTACATATAAGTCTAAATATTTTTCAGTCAGTGTTATTTGCAGTGTTATCTTAGTATCTGCGTTTTTTATTAATATAAATATAAAATGGTTAGTTTTTAATATTTTTTATTTCAGTTCCATGTTAAACTACATAAAAAGGAAAAGTAGAAATGTTACCTTTGCAAATAAAAAGAAAGAAAAATTTTTTTCCCAGTTTATTTTATTCTAAGTTTGAAAATGTTTTTAATTGGCTTTCATTTTAGTTTCAATTTAAGTTTTAATTTTAGTTAACATTAATAACCCTGATTTCAGTACATCAAAAGTTCCCTTTCATGGGAACTTCGAACTGCGTCCTCTAGGGGTCGCTATGGGGAACGCCTCATCGTGATCAGTGTTCGTTCCCTACTCAGGGAACCATGGTTACATAAGTAACCTGAGACGTTATTACATATTGGGAGAAAATAGTGTGTTTTAAGGTGAATAACCTTAAATGAATAACATTTAATTATGTGTCTTGATTCATTATATTAGGTTGCAATTTACATGAATCACATAAATGATACTTTCAAATCAAAACAGCAAAATTTTACCAAAAAAGAGTAGTTTTACTTACTTTGGCCATTTAACATTTATATTGTAAAACAGTTGTCAAATATGAAATGTTTGGCTTCTTACATCACAATGGATTTCACAATTGGCTGAACAATAAACCCTGTTTTCTTTGATGTGATGCATCTCAAACATTTTGACATTGACGAGTGCTGTTCAACATTAAAAACTGTTACAACATACAGAATGGTGCGTAATGAAGTGCAACAGAGCTGCATCAAGAATATCAAACACTGAGGTGGACAATTTGACCAAATCTGTTTATTGGAGGGGACGTGCCCCCCTTATTTTATGGTGGTTACAGCCCTGATGTTTATTGAAACATACTGAAAACAGCATACTGTTATTATTGTAAATTCTCCATTCGATTAACAAAGTCGCTCAATCCCACAGTTGCCTGAGCCACGGGCAGCATGGCATGTGTGTGTGTGAGTGTGTGTCCAGAGAGTCTGCTGAACTCTGTCATGGCTCATCTCCAGTAATCTTTGTAGAATTAAGTTCAGCTCAGTCCATTAGTGCAGCCTAATGGAAGCATCTGAGAGTTTAGAGTCACTTAATCAGGCATCTTCACATTATGTTATTGAGTGGATCTGGAAATGTCACAAATTTATTCAGGGTTTCTGTGGGTGATGGCATTGAATGTTTCATGCACTGGCAAATCATCCCTACAATAAGATTCATTTACTTGAGATGCAAAATTAAGATATAAAGTATTGTTTTCTGCAAAACTGAACAAAATGAAGTCAGTTTATGCTTAACCCTCTACCGCATGGTGTAGCCATATGGCAACATACTCTTTGTGTTAATTTCATTTTTTACAGCACTTCAAGTTAAGCCATTCTTAGAAAAGTATGTTTTTTCTATAGGTCTATCATAATGCGTGCGGTAGAGGGAAGGCATGCACAAATATCTGCCAGTGAGGTATGAAAAAACTATCCCTTTAAACTAAGTTGATTTTTCTGAGTCTGTTTTTTATTTTTTGATTAGTCTGATGTGTTCTTGCTTTAATCACATATTCACTTCAATTTGTTTTCTGATCAGTTTCTCAGAAAACAAGCCTAAATGTCTCTTGATTTCAGAATCTTTAGACATTTTTACTGGAAAAAAGACAAAAATGCTAAAGAAAACATAACTTTTTTGCAGGTACAGTAAAATATTTCCATAGTGTAGTGGTTGGGAATAAGTATTCAATTGGCTTAAGCTATTATTTTGTAAAATGAATTAAAAGTAGGCCTAATGGAAATTGTATTTTTTTTGGAAGTTGTATTTTTAAACTTTGAAGTGTTGCTAATACAACTTCTTGTCTGCTCCCTGTGCTTTTACTTTTTGAAAACATGAATGAATTTTGTTCCCTTCCATTTAACTGATTTATTTAAAAATGTATCACCTGAATGTATTTTAGAATTTTTGTCTAGTGTAGATTTGAAACTTGTGTAATTCTGAGATCGCCATGAAAACAGCCTTGATGTTGGCATGGCATTAAAAGGTGAACAAATAAATAAATAAATAATATGTTCCCTTCAATTAGATATACAGATTTCAATCAGTGAAGTTCCTAAGTGTTGAATGATAAATTGAAATAGTCTCAAATAGTCATTTGCACTGGTTGCGAAGTGCATTTTTGATTCACAAGAAGAATCGGTTCATATTGCGGTCGCGTCATACTTTATGTTATAGCACGAGAACAACTCGACGTGTTTTTTGTCATTATTTTGGTGTATACGCCGTTTTTTTCATTATTACACTCAATCCTGATTACATACTCCGTATAAAATATGACTTGTTTTGCCGTGGGGTTGTAGCTTCGGCAGCAGATTCATCAACTAATAAAAAGCCATGTGGGAAATCAATATCAAGCTGATTAAAATAAACATTGCGATTAATTGGGGAAAGAATACATTTATATTTATTATAATTTTTTTTAGCTACATTAAAACTAAATTCTTGCTAGAAATACCCATTTTACTAAACATGATGGTATTGGTAAGAAGAGAAAGGAGATGAGAGAAAGAGAGAGCATGCGTTTGGGTGGGAGATTGGACACTCGGGATGTAGGAAAACCCATAACAGCTGCCAGCGGATTAAAACAGCTTTAAGACAGATTAACACTTTATTTCCTCTGTTGTGTATGTGAGAAAAAGAGAGAAAGAGGCTCTTTCGGTTGGTTCTGCGAGCTTTTTGATTGACCCAGAATGAGAATCTATTACTGTGTTGATTTAGAGCATTTGTAATAGTTTTAATAAATATGTTTTCCTCTCTGCAGGGTATAAAGTGACTGCTGTGTCTATCAGTCAATGAAAGTCCTTGTTTTCCATGTCTTTCAAAAAGAAGTCGATTTTTAGTGATTTGGCCCCCATTCAATCTCATACTCCCCATTTCCCTCATCTTTCTTTCTGTCCTCCATTCTTTACCTCTCTCTCCTGTGCTTCTCTCAGCTTTGAGCGGCTTTAGTTGGTCTCTCTGGGACATAAAACAAGTAAATGATATGGCCCTGACCTTTAGAGGGCATGCTTTATTTCTTATAAGAAGAAAAATTGTGGATGGAGAGAAGAAGGTGAGAGCAGATCAGGTGCACATGTGGGTTGACCTTTTCTAGGTGTAATTCACAAAATTAATTACAGATGATTGTATATTTTTATTTTCTGTCTCTATTCTGTCTCTATTCTTCTATTCAGTGTCTGGTTAGAAATCAAACAATTTAGTATGTATATGGTCTTAAAGATCAAAAAATGCCTTTGACATCTCATATACACTCTTTTTTTTAATTAAACAACATAATTAATTGTACAACGTAAGACTTATTGGCTGCTGTAAGCTGCCAGCTCATTTTTAAATGGTTGGTTATAAAATGCACTGATTTATGATTCAACTTCAGACTGCAATATGGGCTCGACAATGTGTATCTGCCTCAATTATAGTCTTTCTTTACCGCACATGCATGTAATTTGAACATGAATTTTCTCCACAAGTGCCTACAGGGTCTTGAGGATTTGAAAAACTGCTGCATCTAAAGACAGATCGACTACAGAACAATCCAGAAAGTTGCTGGTTGTAGTCCTAACATTGTTGTGTGATGCTTACAACAGCCTGTCTCCTTAAATAGACACTGAAGTAAATTTGGCTTGCATTCTTTACTTCTTTCATTTTTGTTATGGAAAGAAAAGTCCAGTCAGCCTGATCAAGCACAGTGTAAAGGGTGACATTCATAGCAGTGTGAATTGATTGGCAGTATTCTGAGAACCGTGCCTTTGTGAACATTACAGAGGATGCAATCTTGTGTTTAGAAATGCAGAAGTATTTCAAAACAGATTTGCTTTTTAATTAAATCGAAGATCACATCTCTCTCTCTTTCTCTTAGTGAATAAGCACAAGCCATGGATCGAGAGCTCATACCACGGCGTCATCACAGAAAACACAGATGCGGTTCTGTTGGATCCTCCTTTAGTGGCTCTGGACAAAGACGCTCCAGTTCCGTATGCTGGTAAGAAAGCAAGAAATGAGCACTTTATAGGCTATTGGGTTTGTAGTACAGCGCTGCCCACACGTCTTTCCTGAGGCCGTCTCAGCTGATGAGTGTGTGTGTGTGTGTGTGAGTGCATGTCTGTGTACTCCATCTGTTCTTTCTGATTATTAGATGCTTTATGCTTTTCCAGATCACCTGCTGGTTGCCAGATCACGCTGCCAATGTATCAGATACTCCAGATGAACTGTATTTCTCTGATACACTTAAACTGAGTCACTGCTTAAGAACACACACATATGCACACACACATGGCCAGCATTGCCTATCTATCTATCTATCTATCTATCTATCTATCTATCTATCTATCTATCTATCCATCCATCCATCCATCC